GAGGGGCACCTGCTTTTTGGATGAGGTTAGATTTACAGACTCTGCAGTGATGAGCTAAAATCTCATATGAAGATGGCCCAAGGCCTGACAGATCTGGGAAGAGCTTTATGAATGAGGGGAATAGGCTAAATGCTTCTCCAATCATGCTGCTCTTTCTATCCATCTTAGCACAACCTCCCATGACCTTCCTGGTCTGCAGGAGTGCAGCCAACTTCATTCCTTTTCCAAAGGAGACTGGAGGGACTCTCTACCAGTTGCCTTCCCTCCTGTTTGCATTTTGGATGGTACACTGGAGTTGAGAGGCTACAGGGTGAAAGCTTTGAGATTAAACCATCTATACGGGATTAATAATCTAGGGAAGTTCTTCATTTGCTTCCTTAGACCCTTTTGAGTTCCTAGTTTGCAGGTGACTGCTGTCAGAAAAACATGCATGAGGAAAAACGTTCCATTGCATCATCTTAACTGTGTGTGTGTTATATATATGTGTGCATGTATGCATGCGCATGCAGTGGGTCGACTTTGTGCCCAGTGTGTGGGGCTGTATTTTCTAAATACTGTGACATGGGCTGGTTGTATTATAGTGAATCTTGGAGCTTGGACCTCAACAAAGTCCCACATGGGAGCAGGGGGCTGGTGACAAGAGGTCACTTTAGGCATTATCTAGGCTCTGGGGTGTCTAGGGGTGCTGGGCTATGGAGTACCTGAGCTCACAGTGATGTGCTCACAAGTGACCAGTAGATGGTGCTCTAACAACAGGGAAATATGACCACTGTTCCTCCTGGGCTGGAAAGGGATTTTAGGAAACTGGTTTCCAATCAGTTATGACCAAATGTTGATTTTCTGCATTTCCATATGTAGGTCTTTAAGACATTGGAAGGAGGGACACTGTGAGGAGAATTCCCACCAAGATCCCTTGTGAAGAGCATTATGGCAATGACCTGACCTCGGGTTTTTTCTAAGGATCCTCCTGGATCTTGAGGGCAGTAGATGTGTTTAGTTTAGCATCTTCCCAGCATGGTCTCAGGAGCCACTGAGATTGGCCACTGATCAGATACAATTTGAGGATGGCAAGCATAGAATTCCCATAGGCTTAGTGTGATTGTATAGCTTCTTCTCTTGACAAGGAACAATTTGGAATTACACTATTACCATCCACAAGACATTGGACTGGGTATTAGAAAGAGTTATAAAGTGGAAGTTGGAAGATCTGTTAGAAGCCCAGGGAAAATTACTTAATGTTTCTGAAACTCTGCTAATTTGTGCACCAAATCAGGGTCATAATACATGGGTTAGCAGGCTGATCTCAGAGATTTGTTGTGAGGTTTATGTTAGCTGAGAACTATTAAACACACATAAAATGTTACTCAGCCATTAAAATTCTAGCCCTCTAGGGCCCAGAAGAATGGGGGCATTAGAGAGCATGAGAAAAGTTCACAGATCTCAAAGGTCTGAAGAGCTGTGACTGTACAGTGGGGGATGGTAGATGTGGTGGTGAAATATGAGAGTATGCCTCCCTCCCAGCATTACTGCCCTTGGACCAAGTCCATTACCAAAGACTTTTATATCATCACGTTTGCCTCTTTCCTCTTGGGCTGCGTCCTCCAGGAATTCTCTATTTATAACTTTGCTACAGAGGAGCTCAGACTCTGCACCATAGTCTACATTATCCCCAACACGTGTGCTTTTGATTCTTGTCTCCTCAGAATGCAAGGAAGGCAAGCCTCCCCTCTACTGGGGCTTCACATTTCCAGGTGTAATATCCTGTCTTGGGGACCCTAGGTCTCTAAAGAATTGCAGCAGCCACAGAGAACACAGACCATTGTAGAGACAGGTAGCAGAATTAGTACTGCCTCTCTGCTGAGTGGGTGACATTGAAGACCCAAGTCTGGAGGTTCCAGATCTTCCAGGAATCTCTTCCAGGAGATAAAGCTTAGAGAGCCCTGCTTCCTCTGAGCATTAACAAATGGGCACACCACCCTGAAGCCTGCTAAGGCCGGGACACAGAGGAAAGGGGTGAAGTTGTAGTGTGAGAATGAGGTCTGTCAGGCACTCTGGCCAGTAAGGTTATAGAACCTAATTTAATCCAAGACGAAGGACACATTTTTGGGGTCATCATTTATTTTGTTCATTATTATATCTCAGTGCCAACAGTGTCTGATGCTCAAGAATAATTATCAGATGATTGATTTGAATGAATTTTGTGTGGTGGATATGGTTCTTCCTGAAAGCATGGGTTTGATCACTTCTGAAAGCCCTTTCTAATCTACACAGTTCACAGGGTTACTGAGACAACCACTTGTGACCATTGTGAGTGACTAACAGGCTGATGGGACCTCATGGTTCATAGCACCATCTTCCCTTTTACTTCTGACTAGGTATCCAGACTGGAAAGGACCCTCCAATTAAGGTAGGTAGAATGACAGAGCAAGGCAGTAATAGGAAATAAAAATAATAATTAGAACTGACACACCTTGTATAGTGATTTGGCCTGAAACAGGCTACCCTGAATCAAAAGGTCAACATGCCATCCCAAGGGCAGCAGTGACATCACTCCTTTGGGTTTCCGGTACCCAGAGAAATTTCCCTTCACACATGCTCACATATATTCTCACACAGTAGACCTGTGTCAGTGCTCACGTGGCCTTGCCCACACAGACACATACACATAGGAACACACGTGCCTCTCACTCAGATGTCACCTCTCTTCCCCTCAGTTAATCTCACACACAGAGAGACGCTGCCTTTCACACACGTGAAGCTACATTCACCTACGGTTTCCAACGTCTTGGCCTTAGTGTCTATTTCTTTCCTCAGCCGCCTGCTGCTTCCTTTTCTCCAACATTGCTCAGGTGGAGAGGATTTGGATAGAGCTTTGTGTTGAGGCTGAGATTGGAAAAAGCAGAGGAAAATGTGTGTTCCAGCTAGTGTAGACATGGAAGGGGGCGGCTGGTACCTACCTGTGTTCGGGTCAAACCACCGAGTCACCTGTGGAGAGGGCCTGGTTGCTAAACCTTTCTCAGGGCCTTGGAGTACACCTTTCCCACTTAATGCAGCTCAGATACTAATTGTTTTTTTCTTCATTAACGGGGTGGGTTTGAGGAAGTCAGCGGAGCGGACTTATGAGTAAAAGGGGTGGGAGGGCCCCCTGATAAGACCTTGAGAAGGGTAGTGTTAGCCCCAAACTACCATCTGCGGCCCCAGTATCTGGGCCACCCTTCCAGAAATGCATGCGCAGGGCTCCTGGAGAGCTGACCCCGGGAGGCCGCCCCAGGTCGCATTTGCAGAGGGAGGGCGGGAGCTCCCGCGGGGGGCTGGCACCAACACCAGAGTGCGGAGCCCCCAGAGGTCCTAGCGTGCCTCACGGGGCCTGCGGGTTGCTAAGTGGGTAGACAGGGAATGGGTGCTGCCTTCTCCGCGGAAATCCCTGGGCAGCGTTCCTTGGCGACTGGGAGGTGTGGAGGAGCAGCGACCCGGCCCTGGCGCGCGGCGCGCACGGCGCAAAGGCTTCGACTACCCGCCTGGGCGGCCACTGCGCGGGGCACAGCACCGGCCGGCGCCTCGGCGGGGACGGAAGGCGCGAGTGCGTGCGCGCGTGCGTGTGCGCCCCCGCCGGGCCTGGGCTCGGCTCGCTTGTGGGGACTGTGCCGCGCCGCCAGCTGCGCCCGCCACTCTCCCTTCGGCGTTACTAGGGGGGAGAGGCGACTCTTGCTGGGCCGCGGCGGAGGTGGCCCGCTACCCTCTGGCTAAATAAATCTATCAGCCAAAGCAGCCTCACTTCCCAGGCCCCTGCAGCCGCGGTCGGCCGGGGTCCTTCCGGCTCCATCCCCGCCCCTCCTGTCCTCGCCGGCCCCGCCCCCGCTTCTCCAGGCGCTCCGGCGCGCGCCTCGCTGCGCCTCTGCGCTCCGCTCGCCGCCCCCCCCCCCCCAACTCCTCGCCTGCTTTCCTTTCCCACCTTCCCCTCTGCTCCCCGGAGTGGGGCTGGCGGTGGCAGAAGACGCCGAGCCGTTCGGGAGGAAGTTCGGTCCTTGGACAACTCCCGTGCCAGGCCGCGGCGGGGCTCGCCGGCAACCTGTTCCTCCCTCGCCCGAGTGCTCGGCCGCCCGCCCGCTCCCGCCCTCGCCCCGGCGCAGCCGCGGATCGCTGTTGCATGCTGATCCGGGGAGGCGGCGGCGGCGGCGGCGAGCGCTCCGGCAGGATGCTAGCCCTCGGGCTCCGCTGCTCTCTGGAGGCTGCTCAACTTCTATCCCAAGCGCAGGAGCTTTGAAGTCGTGTGTCCCTCTCCGGTTGGATTGACTTCTTCTTTTGATATTTTGGGCGTTGCGGTTTGCGCAGGAACCTCAGTATCGCTCTTCCCCCTCCCTCTCTGTCAACCTTTGGATGCGTCTGTGCTGGCAGATTTAAAGACCCAAGTCTTGGCTGTGGAATTTCTTAGATGGACTTGCCGGGGCTGGCGTTATAAACCATGTCACCGTAACCCCGTACTTGTCTCTCTTTTTTTTTTTTTTAAGTTCTTTTGTTTTCGTTTTTCCCTTCCTCCCCACCCCCCACCCCCAATAAATCACCAAACTGTTACCTAGCGGGCCGGTGCCTGCCTCTCTTCTAGAACTAGGTGGTGCGTCTGCCAGAAGAGGAGCTATGTTTGAAGAGCAGCCTACTCCACCCCTCTCTTCTTCAGTCCCTGAATGCCACCACACACTGGCATTTTGAAAAAAAAATTGCCTCCAGAAACTGAGCACCCCCCAAGCTCTTCCCCCCCCCCCGTTCCCCCCCCCCCCTTGAGGAATGGATCTTCGCAGAGGTTGCATTTAGATTCAACAGTTCAGAGCGGCGGGGCTGCTTGCTGCCTCCTCTCTGAAGAGCTCGCGAGGCTCCCCGGAGGCGGTGGTCCCCGTGCTCGTCTGGATGCGGCTCTGAGTCTCCGTGTGTCTTTCTGCTTGTTGCTGTGTGCGGGTGTTCGGCCGCGATCACCTTTGTGTGTCTTCTGTCTGTTTAAACTTCAGGATGGCTCGCTTCGGGGAGGCGGTGGTCGGCAGGCCGGGGTCGGGCGATGGAGACTCGGACCAGAGCAGGAACCGGCAAGGAACCCCGGTGCCGGCCTCGGGGCCGGCGGCCGCCTACAAGCAGTCGAAAGCGCAGAGGGCGCGGACTATGGCTTTGTACAACCCCATTCCCGTCCGGCAGAACTGTTTCACCGTCAACAGATCCCTCTTCATCTTCGGAGAAGATAACATTGTCAGGAAATACGCCAAGAAGCTCATCGATTGGCCATATCCTTTCTTGCCCACCATAACTCCCCTCTCTCCCTTTGCATTTCTTCCCCTAAGGGGGGAAATCTAGCGTGGAATGTATCCCCCATCCCCTTGCTGGTGCCAAGTTGCCCATTTGCTGGAGTGCACTCTACTTCGGTGCACCTGAGGGGCAGGCTTGGTGTCTGTAGAGACCAGTGTGGGCACTAGTGCTTTTCAAGGTAAGACTTGGTTTTTGATTTTTCCTCTGTGGAAATCTCTGGCGTCCCCGGGTGCATGGTGTTGCTGTATCTGCCCCTTTCTGGGCTGGGCTTTGTCTGATTTTTCAGACCCCCTCAGGCCCTTCACAGAGAATGGATTGCCCCAAATCTCAGGGTTTTCTTTCATACTCACTCCCCTTTTCCTCCCTCAAAGCCACCCCCTCTGTCCCCATCCCCACCAGCTGGAAAGACACCTGCACTATCTGCTTGTGAGGAAGTCCAGGCTCCCTGAGCGGATTTATCATTTCAGAAGCTTCAAGAGTCTGGGCCAAAACCCTGTAGACAAATAGACAAATGGACAAATAAAACAGCCATTTGGCTAGGGATCCAGCTAACTCTGGGGACTGAGTTTAAGTTCCACCGAGAGTGGAGTAAATGAATGTGTCAGCGCAGGCAATCTCTAATGATACAGCCCAGACAGCTCAGAGTGGAGTTTTCTTTTCAGCCAAAGAAGAACAGCTCATCAGAGCCCCGTCCTGCCCTTAGTCCTGGGTTGGGTACTTCTGCCTCTCAATGTTTGACTCAGCTGAGTCCTCTCCTTGTGCCCAAGATTCAGGTTGATCTGCTGGGCCTGAATTCACCAGCTGAGCCCAGAGATGTGCAAGGCGTCTGTCTCTTCCTACCCCCAAAAGAACTGCTCTCCACAAAGAGCTTGTGGGGGTGTCTCTGATGGTGGCGGTTTCAGGGTGAACAGGCATGGAAGGAGCTTCTTTGCAGGTTTAATTAAGTGCACCAAAATACAGGCTCCTGATTAGGCATCTCACTGCCTTGTTCATCACTAAGAATTTGGGCATCTGGCAAGGTCTTTAGGAACGGGTTTGGTGGGGAGGGTACTTAGTAGGAAGCAAGCCAGTGGCGTGGCTTTAAATGGGGGCGGGGGGAGGTAGGTTTGGAGACATGGGATTTTGATGCTTGTGGAAAGAGATTTCTTGGGAAGGATGTACCTGCAAAGGAGGCCCCTAGTCTTCTCTGTCCTCCTCTCTCCCCACCCCCCACCCCCCAGGTGTGCAGTAGGGAGACAGCTGGAGATGCATGGGGTCTCTAGTATCAGTGAGGCACGGGGCTCACTCCCCCCAGGGCCTGGGCATCTCCCTACTACCCCCACCCCAGTCTTGGCCTTCCCCTCCTTTCTCCCTAGTTCCCTGCCTCAGCAGCACTGCGATTGGCTGGCGCATGGTGCTTCTAGGCAGCACCCCTCATTAGAAACGAAGGAGCATCTCTAAGCAGATATTCTTCCTGCTGCTGCTCAAATCCTCCCACAGCCACCCCTGGCTGGGCTTCCTCTCTCCTCCTCTCTGCACTCCCCTCCTCCTCCCACCCCCACAGAGTGCTTCGGGGCCATTCTGTGCTGAGTTAAACGTATCTAGGGGTGGGGATACTGAGGAGGAGGAAGGGTCCTGTCCCTGCAGTCCGCCTGCCCGGTGCGCAGCACAAAGCGGACAGATCTCATTGTGATGCCTGCTGCGGCAGCAAACACTCCTCTAGTCAGGTTTCTACGGATTTCTCCCACGGCGCTGCGCTCCCCTGTCCGCCTCTACAGTTCTCTAAAATTTCCTACCCTCCAGGTGCTGCTTTACTGTGCCCCTCTCTTAGGGTCGTATTTACTGAGGCACCCCTCGGTTTCCTGATGGTAGACAAAGCCATCCATCCACCCCGTGGGTGGCAAAGGGTGCCAGCAGCCATCTCTGGCACCTAGGACAGCGCCAGGGAAACTCCCCAGGGGTCCGTGGCTCAGGGATCAGCCCGGTTCAGCACCTCGGGCACTTCCAGCTGGGCCTGGTTTCGGGAGCTGGGAAATGAAGCACGGTTCCCATACCACGCGGTTGGCGCTTTTCACGTTTTCTCTTCCGCTGCAAAGACACCGCCTTTCTACCAGGCATTGCGAGCGCAAGGTACGACAGTGAATTTTACTCCGCCCTTTCCTTGTCTTTGGCCAGGATGGACCAAAGAGAGTCAAAGGAGAGAATGGGGAGTTGATTTCAGCATCATACTCTGCCTTGGCCAAGAGCCTGGTCCCAGTGGTCTCTTCTATCCAGATAGCTGGAAGTTTCGCAGTGGTTCTACAGCATGTAGGCTATTGTAACAGTGTTCAGAGAACATCTGCTAAGGTGTGTAGAGGAGCCTGGTTGGAAAATTTAAAATACACCGTATTATACACCATATTTGCTTTTTGTTTCCCCCCTCCTAGCTGTACGTGATTGTCTAATATATATTCCCTCTGGTGGTGACCGTGTGGAAACATTGCGCTTCTGTGCGTTCTGCGTTTTCTCCAATACTGCATCTGAAATGCCAGTCTCACTTTCCTTCCTACCTACACACTCTGCTGCTTCCTGAAATCGCTCCCTTTCTTCACTGTGAGCAGTGGTTACCAGTAAAACTTTGGAGCCAGGCTGTCTGCATTCAAATTCTCAGTTCCTTCACCAGCTCTGTGACCTTGAAAAGTTACTTCATTACTTTCTGACTCAGTTTCCTTATCTGTAAAATGAAGGTGATACTAATGAGTTACTGGGAGAATTTAATGAAGTAATAAGAGTCCAGTTTGTAGAACATTGCCTCATTACCCAGTAAACACTAGCTGTTATTTTAATGGGGTCCTTCAGAAATTTCAGCAAGCCTGAAGGTAGGGGTCTTAGTTCTAGATGAACTCACCTTCTAGATTTTGCCTCTCAAAGAGAGCGAAGAGCCAACAACTGAATCACCAGGGGCCTATTCCTGTTACACATTCAGGACCTTGAGCCTCACTTCAGATTTACTGAATCAGAATCTGCATTCTCATAAAATCCCCAGGTGGTTACTATGCACCTTAATGTCTGGGAAGTGCTTCTGTACTATTTGTAAGGGCCAGAATTTTTGGGAAAAGGAAGATTGTTCAGAAAATATGTTAAGACCTTCTCCTTTGAACTGACACATGAACATGTAACAACATGCTTGAGGACTTTGTGCACTATGTCTCTGAGACTGACACATCTTTTATGGGCTGCAGGAAGTCACTGCGGGGCTAGGAGGGAATGTGCGCTGTGTTAGCCTCTCTTCACACTGCCTGTTACCAGTTTTTAACAAATTGGCCTGAAAAGATCAGTTAAGTGAAAGGAATTATTGAGTTTATACTTATAGCATTCTCTGGCTTGAGCGGGTGGCTGGGGGTAATCTTTTCCAGTTATTGAATAGAGGAAGTCTAGTTCTTATGGAAAGAAATGCTCACAATAACCCTGATTTGGCTTGAAAGATGGTGGTTAAATTACAGCCCACTCTGAATGCGTTTCATTTTTCTTGGAAGCTACATCTGCATAGGGAGATAATTTTATTTTCTTATGACACTCTTTTATGCAATGGATACCATAACCTTTTTGAAAATGCTAATCTGATTTAAAATGTGATGTTACATTCTATATGATCCCTCCAATGTCTTTCTCGTTCATCTAATAGATGTAACAAAAGGATTCCCTTTTCCTCACGGAATCAGCTGCTCTGAGTGTCCTCCCACATCCACTGTGCCTCATGCTTATCAGCTCTGACCCTTCCATTCCCAGGCCTGGTTACTCTGTGAACACATACAGTGTCTCCCTCATGGTTTGTAAGATGCCCCACACTTGTTTGGAGTTTTTTAGGTCAGAGGATGAGAGGAGGAAATACATCTGACTTGGGGACTCTGTGTCATTGATGGGCAGTGGGAGATCCCCCCCACAACTGATAATGGGGGTCATCTCAGCAGGGGGACCCATGTTTCATGGAAGAGTGTACATGGCCAAAAGTAGGAAGATCAACTGTGTTTGCAGCTACTGAGATGTTGAAGCTCATTATAATGAGCTTGTAGATATTCAGCCATGATTTCTTGTTGCAGAGAATTTCACTGTAGCCTCAAAAGCCTCTGGCTCTGGGTCAGAAGTTATGTGCTTTATTATGGTAAATTTGCTGTTGTAAATTGTGCACTTACTTTGGAGGATTTGGGTGAGGATTACTAAAAGTGTTAGTGCCCACATCTCCCATTTTGACATAAACTTTTCTACTGTTCTGGTTGTCTATAAATATATAGCACCTTGCAGGATAGTAGACTGTAATCTTGGCAAGGATTTCAGGTTTGATGTAACGCTAATGGATCGTGAGTCAGAGTGCCTTGATTAGGGCGGAGGGTGGCAGCTAACAAGGACGAAGTCTGTAATTATATCCTATGATCACATAATGCAGAAGGGCTTCGCATCTTCTGTGTACCTGGGCAAGAAGCAGACAGTGAAGCAGACAGTGACTGTTACTGGCTCTGCGGCTGCTGGAGAAAGATCTTCATTTTCTGAGCCTCCCAGGATAATCTCCAAAGTGCCCATTGGCTTGGCCTTTCAAATGAGGTGTGGGTAATGTTTCCTCTGGAAAGCAGCCTCTGCCTTGTCGTGGGGACCAGTTGTCATTGGGAGGCAGCCTGGAGAGTGAGCTGGAGTGAAGGAGTTTGACAGAAATGAAATGACAGGAGGCTGGAGACAAAAATATCTTGGACGCGATAGTTTTGTCTGTTGGCTTGTATGTCCCGTGTCTCCGCTTCCCTCCACTTGCTTTCCCTGTAACAGGCGGAATGCACGCTATGAATTAAAGGTTCGAGGAGGGAAATAATGAGAACAGGTCTTTTTATCTTCTGAAAGATTCAGACTTTGGAATTTATTAGCTCCATCCAGAATTGCTGGACTCTTTTTAGCTGCTTTGTATAAAATGTAGGGTTTTCCCCCCTGCCTCAAACTCTGCTGCTTCCCCCTCTTTATGGGAGCATCTGTTTTC